CCACATCAGAGAGAGCATCTGATGTAATTTGGAGGAGATCTACAGGTCTTCGGGATCCTTAAGTCTCCTTTGCATCTGGCTAAGCTTCTGCAGAACCTAGCAATTGCTTTCCAGTGCGAAGCGCCAAAATCCTTTTGCCTCGTCTGTCGGCTCTATGAACATGTTACAATGCGCTCCTTAGGTGGTGACAATGCAGGTGGCCACCACAAGCCTCCCATCAGCCGGGATCCCAGCCTGCCTTCATCAGCTACCAAGCCAAAGACTAAGATAAATCCCTGAAACTCCCTGAAGGCGTGGGCCCTGTTACATTTGCAATTAACACTAGGTCCAGAAGACACAGGGCAGGACAGTGTTTCTCAACCCAGTCTTTGGGGACCCCCAGACAGCCCCCAGCACCCAACACACCTCTACCAGCTATTCGCTGCTAATTGTTTGTTCTTGATTGTTTGGTTTGTTCCTGATCATTTAGTTTGTTCCTGGTTGTTTGGTTCAGGTGCTGCAGGAGCTGCGTGGGAACAAAAACGTGGGCTGTCTGGGGTTCCTCGAGGACAGGGTTGAGGAACAATGGGTTAGAGGACCAGTAGATAGGAAGGCGGGGTGACATGACTGTGACGCAAGAAAGCAGCTTTTGTTGGCTAGGATCGGTAGCCACAAATTGCACCCTTGAGTAAGGCGCATTAAGGAAGCTGCATCAGAAAACAGAAGCATTTGCTCTAAATATGATTACCAGCGGGGTGAACAAATAATATTTAAATATGGCGCATGGTGGCAATACCCAAGAGAATAACATAATTCATTCATACAAAGCCAGCTGCTCTGACGAGAAAACATCGATGGGGGGGGGGGGCAGACTTCCATAAAGCACGATGGGCTTTCTATCCGACAATCCTGTATGTTTTCTGCTCTAGCTGAAATTGTGATTCATTGCTGCGGGTCTGTTTGCTGTGAAGATAAATGTCGTATGACATCCCCAAACACAACTTCTATGACACAAACGTTGCCCAACTCCAAGCCTATAGCCAGCATAGTTTGCTCCGCTTGTCATGCTATTCTTTAGCGATTCCTGGAGGTATCGAAATTGGTGAAAAGATAACCATTCCTTTTTTTTCTCCCAGTTCGTAAATTTTGATTGCTCTTCATGCTTCTGAAAATCGAGCCATTCTCAGAGGCATTTGTGTGGAGAGATGAGCTCACTCAGACAACACTGTTCGGGACTCCATCAGGAGGGCCGACGCCATACGCTTTACCTTTGACCTCTGGAGGTGCTGGTCTCTAATCCATCCCAGATCGCAGCAAAGTGTTCAGGCCAGAAGTGGTCACTCAGCTACTGGGCAGGTCCTCCACATCACAGGGCCTCGCTGAACGTTATGGGCTCAGAGCAGGCAGCCTGCAAGGCACATGGGACAAGCTGGTCAGAAGCTTAAGAGGCTCCCACAAAGACCTGGGGGCACCAAGTAAGTAAGAATGCCACAGGTATGAACCTCCATGACTACACTTGCGCTTTATCATATCCAGGGTTATGCAGCAACCAGACCAAGTTAATCCTCTCCCAGTAATCCCATTCTCAGACAGCCAGGCCCGGCTCAGAATGAAGTGTCATTTTATCAGGCATGCAGGCCCTGAGCTGAGAGGATCACCGTAGCGACATCAAGGATGTAAAGAGAAGAGAAAGACTTGCAAGAGAGTATGAGACTGGGTGCAGAGAGAGACTGACTTTACAATGTCCATCTCCTTTGTTGAAGTGGATCACGTCGGCTAACCAACATGGGGCTTAGACTGGGATTCTTTACCACTGGGTCTTGACAACAATGAAGTTGAACTTACAACAGGATCAGACTCAAGGAACAAGCCCACGGCAGAGTGGCAGATATGGACAATTCCACAGGGCATTTAAAAAGATACTCTTTATACCACTTTCTATCTATGCTAAGCCCAAGATTCATCGAAAACATCAACGGCAGAAGATGCGTTGCTGCCATCTCCAGTACCAATTTACACCAAGGGCCAAAGAATCAAATCAAAACAGAAAAAAACAGCCATTCCTGACGCATGGAAGCTCAAAGCGGGATTCACATAAAAAAAAAAACACCCCCTTTAGGAAAACGCACCTTGACATCTACTGTGGAACATTTTGGAAAAAGTAAAAATGTTGACTATTTTAGCTTGGACCAAAACTGCTGGAGAACTGAGTGTTTCACATGTAAAGATTATAAAACAAATGTGCTCTCATCACTGTTGCTTCCACTCTGGCTCATGTCCAGCCCGTATCCAGTCACTGACAGCTTCAACCAGCATTTTGGAATGAAAGGCTTGGATAGTACTTTGGATTATTATATTCTGAGACTTATATCTCAAGCTTTTTTTTACCTCACTGTAATTAAATTCCAAAGCCACTAGCTGGTTATAATTACATACATATTTAAATATACATATTAAGTATGGATATCATAAGTATTGTAATCTGCAATGTTCTATCGAATTATCAGCGTATTTAAGGTAATTGTTGGCTTTAATCTTCCCCAGAAGGCTTCCTAGCCAGCAAATCTTTATACTCCATCAGCCATTTACTCATAGCGACACAAAATGCTATTTCCTCTCCCGACAGAAAGTGACACAGCTTCTAATGAGAAATCCCAGCCGAGTCTAGAAGTGTGATTCTCCAAACTGGCAGTTTATATTTTCATTTTAATTTTATTTTCATGAAGGCACACCTGCTGGCGTTGTTCCCCTTCCTCCCCCTCCTCCCCCTCCTCGCTCACGGGTGCGTTCCGGGGATCTCTTATAGTCAGTTTTACAGACTGAGTGTTACAGGATCAAGGATTAATTTAATTACGCTGGTTATTTATTTGATGTTTACAACAGGAGGGTCAATCATCAAGGCACATAAAACAGCATTTTGTCTTGGGGGGGGGGGGGGTTGAAAATTTGTTCTACAGAACAGTTTTGTTCTCTGTCCATCTCTGACACGTGCCAGCTGCTTTTCAGTCCAGGTAATTCACTTTTTTTTATTTCTTTTTTAAAGTGTGTCACCTTTTCTATTTCAGACTCACGTAACATTCTGTGAAAGCCAGGGGCTAGTGAAGTTGTCTGCCAATCACAGCGAGCCCAGTGACCCCCCCCACCCCGGTACTGGAGGAATCAAGTTGACTATGGAGTCATAACCCCAATTGAGGAGGCAAATTAAACGCAGCCCACGAAAGATGAAAGAGAAGCGGAAATGCTATGCCATAGCAGAGTTGACCTCACCCCCCCGAAACACCCCTTTCTCCTAAATGTTCATTGTGTAAAATCACTCAACAGCGCCCCCACACATCCTACAACCCAAGAGGGGAGTCATCATCATAATCAGCATCATCAATAGTGGCACAATTTCAAATACTTTACTGCAGTTCCTGTTTAAAAAAATACAGCAAACATGGTGGTATTCAAATAATCTCCACAAAGTGGAACAAACAAATCCACTTTACGCGCTATTTTTACTGCAGGAACAGGACTCTTTATCACGTCTCTTTCAACAAATATTATATAGAAATCACATTACCAGACTTTGTCATGCATGCTTTATTTATATGCATTTGTCTGTGCAGACATTTTTTGAGCATGCCTTGTTCATATGCATTTGGCTGTGTGGGCATTTGCTGACATGCCTTGTTCATATGTGTTTCAACTGATTGAATATTGTTAGATTAACTGCTGTAGAACAGTTCATACAATCACAGGCTACAGTACCTATTAGTCGGCTTTAACAGTGAGCGGGGCTGTCAGACATCAGCTGATTTAACCTTGATCTCCCATTGGTTACTTCTTCCGCATTGGCAAAAATGCACAGAATTTTTACTGCAGTAACAGGACTGTTTATCACGTCTCTTTTAACAAATATTATATATAAATCACGTTACCAGACCTAGGGAGAATTTTGCTGTCAGACGGTAACATATAGATATATGGTTAGAGAGAAACACATAAGACATAGCAGGATAAAAGCTTCAATTCCAGACAATATTGGATTACAGGGACTGTAAACTCCCGGATGGAGAGTCGGGTACCGTTTTGAGCTGATGCAGGAAGCGAAAGTAATAAAGTGACTTAAATTGTGCTGCGAGTCCCTGTAAGCTGAAAGAGGGACAAAGAGAGGAAGGTGGGGGCTGAGGGTTGACCAAGGCTCAGACCACTACAGGACAGAACAGACTCATTTAGCCATTTGAGGAGATGAATGGCAACAAGGCGTCCTCTGGTCGCCACGGTAGCGACGTGCTCGAAATACACATCAGCTTGGCTACACCTAGCAACGGACTCCTAAATCAATGGAAACCCTGGCAAGCCCAGTAGCTGAAACCCCCCAGCGACACGCTGGCACCATGGGGGAACAGGCATACCCCCTCCCACCTAAAAAAGAAGAAAAAAAAAAACAGAGCACAGTGACTCAGAATGAATATCCATTTTTCACAGAGGTTGTCTGGGTGGGCATTTATTGCGTATGCCATGTCCATATGCATTTGTCTCAGAGGGCATTATTTATGCATGCCTTATTCATATACGTTTGTTTGTGTGGGCACTTGGCATGCTTGCCTTGCTCACATGCATTTGTCTGTGCAGGCACTTGTGCATGCATTGCTCACGCGCATTTGTATGTGCAGACATTTGCTGTGCATTTCTTGTTCATATGTGTTTCAACTGATTGCATATTTTTAGATTAACTGCTGTAGAACAGTTCATACAATCACAGGCTACCTATTAGCCGGCTTTGACAGTGACCGGGGCTGTCAGCCATCAGCTGATTTAACCTTGATCTCCCATTGGTTACTTCTCCCACATTGGCAAAGAAGTACATGGTGACTGACAGTGTGTTTTGAAGCCTCACATCATCCATTTAATTTGATATAGGACGTCTTCACAAATGTACAGGAGGTATATAAAAGCAAATAAAGATTAATAAATAAAGTATAATAATGTGTGAGAATAAGGGGTGATATTTATATGGGGTTAGTGTGTGACTCAGTGGCTGAGGGATCTGAATTTGGAAGGTGGGGTTCTCAGGAAGAACATCCAACTCTAAGTGCCGCTGGAGTCCTGGATGCTAGCTGAGTCTGCTCTCTGACCTCAGCCCTTCCTCTCTGGCATCCCACTTCTGAGAAAACGTGCCAGCTAAATAAACATATAAAAACATAAACTCATCATAATGTGTTGCTTTCTGTTCCATCTGGCACAGTAAATACATCACTTATCCGCAAACTCTGTACAGTCCCACGAGGACCGTAATATAAATGAATGTGTTAGTCTCACATATATATCGCTGATAAATTACAGATCTCTAACACATTTACTGGGCTACCCATAGGGGAAAAAAGACTGCTCATCATTCCCAGCATAAAAATTACAGAAAACAAACAGCACTGTGTTCAGAACATGCCATTGGAATGCATTTTGGAATTAATTCCAATTGTTTGTTACAGAAAGAATAACAACAATACTTCTGTATGTAACAAATGTACATAAAGGAAGGCACACAGTCTCAGTGGAAACCACAGTTGTTTCACAACTTCTGGGTCTCCTCTGGGTGTTATAGTTTCCTGCTACAAACCAAAGGCATGCAGATAGGTTAATCTGTGTCTATACATGCCAATAGTCTTGCTTCATGCGCGCTCTACAAAGGGTTGGCATGCTGTTCCTTGTGTCCTAAGCTGCCTAAGCTGTTGTATTGGATAAGAGGGGAAAATGCATGGATGGAAATTAATATATATAGGCTATATATGCAAGGACATGCCTCTCTACTTACAATAATAATTTTATAATAACAGTATACCCGTGTTTGTCTCCCCTGTTGTAAACAGCCACCTCTTTTATTATTATAGTAAAATCGTTTTTTTTTTTTTGTTTTTTTAAGAAAATAGGTTTGGAGATATCCATCTGGATGGATGAATGGATGGATGCGAGCTGTCCAGTTGAGGAGAGGATTTTTTGTGGCCACATTTTGCAGTGCATTAATAACGTCCTTAAATAGTCTGCGATCCACCACAGTTACCTGCACTGAAAAGCTAACAGACGGATCAAACGCAGGCCGGATGTGCGCTTAATGTTTAATCCGAAAAGCAGATAAAAACCTGGGCACCGCGCAGCACCGATGCTGGAGTTCATTTTCTCACTCCTCCCGCCGAAATGCATCTCATATTTATCTTTCCACACTCAAGCGGTTCGGCCATTAGCGGGGCTCCCCGCTCCTTAAGCTAATTTATTCAGTTCCTGTTCATTAACGGCACGAATGCACCTGAACTCCATAAAGGGGCGGCGTGTCTATCGATCTGGCCGCATGTCGGTTTGCACCCGCGGTGCGGCTCTGCGTGTGATTGCTGAGCAGGGCGGGAAGGCGGACATCGGCCTGCCTAAGCA